ACAGGCTGAGCCGCAGTCCTGCTGGGAGCAGCCCACCCTGAAGTGCCTGTAGCGGCATGAGCGGCAGGGCCACCCCGAAAAGCTGACCTCACCCGAGCAGGGGCTGCTGTGGGCCTCCCGAGGCCTCCCCAACAACGCCCTGGGGTGTCACAAGCCTCCCATAACCCAGGGACTCTCTGATGCAGGCATCTGTCTGAGAGCCCGGCAGGAAGGCTACGAGGCTCAGCCTTTAGAACTCTGGGGACCCAGTGACTCAGTGGGCACCTCCAAATCCAGGTGTGCCTGGCCCCGAGAACGGCTGCTTCCATAAAGTATGCCTTTGCCAACTCAAGAACAGCAGCTGGGAGGCCAGAGGCTCCCTCTCTACAAGGAGGGCGTGACCCCACTCCCACCCACTGACCTCTGCTCCCACCACACGCAGCCACACTGGGAGGCCACAGGCCCTGCCAACCCATGAGAGCTCACTGACAGCCCCGACCCAGGACGGGTCTGGCCCACAGCACCTTGGCGCGAACTCACGGCCGGACGCACCCCTCTGGCTTGGAGCACCCCGGCATGTGTGGCAAAAGCCCAGGAAGGCACAATAAGGGGCCCGGCCGCACGGGGCTGCTCTCCAGGTGGCCCTTGCTGCCCGGCTTGTGGAGCATGGAGCAGTCCCGTGCCAGCTACCGTCCCAGGTCCTTCTGTCCCTTGTGTCTTTCCTCGAAGGACAAGGGGAAGCAGGCGATCCATGTGCCTCTGGGAGAAGGAGAGGCCCAGGCATGATGGCCGTGGCCATGCTGTGAGTGGCAGCCCGGGTCCAGAGGCGGTCAAGCCACCCCACAAGCTGCCTCTGCCTACGATGGGATGACAGAAACCTGGTGCTGGCGAGGGGGCCACATGTAAAACGGCCACGTGGTAGCTCCCAGCTGTGGTCTTTGACCAGGACTTCCTTCACCGCCTTGGTCAGGGCCAACCAGGTGGGTGTCCCTTGGCCTCGCAGCAGGGGTAGAGGGCGGGAGCCCTTGGCCCAGACTCCTGGCTTCCTGAGAAACAGAAACAGCCAAATCCCCGACCCCAGCCTAGGCAGGAGGACAGTGGCAAGGTGCACGTTCCCCCCACCTCGTCGGGGCCTGGACCTGAGACGGCCGTGGACTTGCTGCCTGCTCCAGCCGGTTCTGAACAGGCAGTGGCCGCCCGGGGGCAAAGGAGAGCCAGGAGCTCGTAGGAGGCAGAAGCAGCTCCACTTCCAGTCTCAACGTCACCTGGCTGCTCACGCGGAGGCGAGGCAGGGCCCAGGGCACAGACGCGCACTCGCAGACGGCACCGAGACAGCCCTGCCCTCTGTGGCACCCCCGCCTCAGCCCTCACCAGCCGCAGTTCCCACGGCTCTCAGGAGTCGCACACGCGTCTGATGGACCCACACGGCTGAAGCAGGCGCAGGGCGGCCCGAAGCGGCAGGGCTGATGACGGTTTCTGAGGATTGCAAGCCAGCCTGGGTTTTTCGAGAAACAGAAAGATGTAAGCTATTCAGCCGCAACAAGATGAAAACCTCCAAGGAATTCAGATGATTCTGCCACAAGTAGGAAGGAAGGAGGACAGGGCCGCACAGGCGTCCCGAGGTGGCTCGGCCGGTGAGGAGCGCAAGGCACGGCCACACGTCTCCTTTCACCCCCAGGAATCTCAAACGGCAGCTCACCCAACAGCAAAATGGGCAGTTCAGCTTCAGGAAGCTGTTGGGAGGTCCCCAGGTGACAGCTATCGCAGATGCGGCTGTGGTCTTGTGGACTCTTTCTTTGGCCTCATCTGTGAAACCCCCAGCTCCAGCCCGAGGCCCCGTGGCAGGGATGCTCTGGGCGCCAGCGCCTCCATCCAGACACCAGCCTCGCCCACACGCCAGCTTCTCAGGATGCAGTCACAGTGCCCTTCGCGGACACAGGGGCCGACTTGAAGCCAAGCGGCTGCCCGTGAGAACACAGGCCCAGGCACAGTGACCCAGCGGGCAGCACCATGCCACTGGCCAGCACGGATCCGCTGCCCCAGCCTCATGGCCAGGCGCCTCCGGCAGCCTCTTCAGTCAGCACCCCAGAGCCCTAGCTTCAGGATGGAGAAGGCCTGCAGCTTGGTGAAGGAGGGGTCGGGTGCACGCACGGCCCTCGGTGGCCCCGAGCCAGGCTGAGTCGAGACTACGCACATGGTGTCCGGCCCCTCCCATGGCTCTCAGGTGCTGGGCATCAGATGCCATCGGCTGCGTGCCCAGAGGTGACCTCAACACCTCCCACAACAAGGGAGGAATGGCAGGTGGCCTGGCAATGTCCTTCCGCTTCCTCTGTGCAGGACCCTCTGTGGACGTCTATGCCGGCCTTGCCGCACAGCCCAGCCACGTCCCAGGGTAGGAACACGAATGCCTGTATCCAAGGGCTGGGCACGCAGAGGGCACCACAAAGAAAGCAAAGGGTGGGTACGATGCACCGCAGCTGCCGCTGGCTCTGACAGGGCCCTACGTGGGCCTCAGCCCCAGGAGCCCACAGGGTCCTGGAACGCGGGTCACAGAAGACAGAAGGTTGGCCCTCGGAGTCTGTGCCCGAGGCGTCCCCAGGCACCCCTGCTCCCTTTGGAGGCTGCCTTTCTCCTGGACATCTTGGGGTGGCTTGCACCCCCAAATGCAGAGCTGGCTGGACTGGGGCACCGACAGCCTCTCTTTTTGCGTGGCACGTGGTGAAGCACCAAGCAGAGTGTGGTCCACGCTGCCTTGTCTCTTGTCACACATGCACAGGCACGGGCCCGAGTCCCTCCTGCAAATGCGTATCTTGCCCCCACCCTGCTTCTGTGTTCATGCGATGGTGTGCAGACTGCCCGTGAAGCCATAAAAAATTTCCCAGGGTCTTCTACAAGAAGCGGCTCCTGTTGACTGAGACCTGGACATCCCACTGGCATATCCAGCCCTCTAGTCCCACAGAGGACAGGTGAGAGGTGGCTCCTGGGTGCCCAGCGACTGGGAAGGGAGCAGCCCCACCCCTGCCTCTGGGAGAGGGCCAGCTGCAGGCATGTGAGCATCTGGGGCACTGTGGCTGGCTCCAGTCAGAAGACACCAAGCCACGTGATGGGGCTGAGCTCCCGGTTCCTGTGAGCAAGGCTGTGCTGAGGGCAGGGAGTTTGCTGGAAGCCAGGGCAGGTGAAGGCCTGGGCCCTGGCCCGAGCCAGCAGGTCTTACGGCTTGCAGCCACCCCGGCTCCCTGTGAGGCTGCCTCCTTCTGGGAGACAGGCGCCATGTTGGCACATCCAGAAGGGCTGTGGCACGGGGGCGGGACCTGCGTGTGCATCCTGGAGGCTTGGACCTGCCATAGATGGGCCAATCAGAGCTGTGCCCGCTGCCTCCTGCTGACGTGGGCAACAGCCCTCCAGGGCGACAGCCTCCTTGATGCACAGGCAGGTCCGTGAGGAGTGTTCGCTTCAAGGCTGCCCCTGGAGTTGGCCTGGGTGCACCCTCCTGGGGCTGCTTACTGGAAGTCCATGCTCTGTTCACAGCAACCTTCCAACTAACAGTGACTCTCGTCTGTCTTCAGAACCGTTTTCTGCCAGCCTCAGGGAGCGTCAGGAAAATTAAAGCTGGTCCCGCAGACCGGGCGGTGAGGGTGAGGGTGGGGGGGCAGCCTATGCTCAGGACAGGAGCCATCCTCCCCACAGTCACTAACAGTTTTAGAAACAGCCACATAAGTGCGCAGCAGCCATGGCAACACTCCTCACCACGCGCGACCCCAGGGACCCCGGATCCCCCACAGGCTGCTCTCCAGAGCTTCACACTCCTCCTCACCACGCGCGACCCCAGGCACCCCGGATCCCCCACAGGCTGCTCTCCAGAGCTTCACACTCCTCCTCACCACGTGCGACCCCAGGGACCCCGGATCCCTCACTGGCTGCTCTCGAGAGCTTCACAGACCTCATCACCCACGGGCAGGGCAGCTCCCTGGATGGCCTCACCCTGGTCTCCCAATCCCAGACAAAGGCTCACAGGACCAGCCAAGTCTCTGTACCTTAGAGCGTGCACCCCACCATCACCAGTGTTAGACGGTCACTCTCAGGAAGCAGCAATCCTAACTCTACCGCATGTTAATTTCCAAGGAAACCTAAGCCCCTTCTCAAGACAGAGCTAGGGAAAATGTCTCTGAACACACAGAGCTTTTTTTGATCAACTGACAGAACAATGACCTTCCAGAAAGGAAGCTGACTGCGTCCCCGGCATGCTCTGTGTCTGGGGACCTCTGGGGACAGTGGAGAGGAAGCAGGGGGCAGGTGGGGGCCTGGCCACCTGGCGGGGCTGTCTACACAGATCCAGTTCACATTGACATCGATGACGTCTCAGGTCAGCTTTCTCACCTCAGCAAACACTTAGCCCAGGTCCCTCCGGGGCCGCAGGCCTGGACAGTTCTCTGCTCCTAGACCTAGTGATTTCCTCACCCACCCTCAGGGCCACCTGGGTCCTGAGCCAGCCTTGCAGTCTAGGTGGCGCCAGCTGTGCGGATGTCCCTGTCTCCTGAGCCTCTGGCAGGCCTGTGGTCACCCCTCCCAGAGATGGGAGGCACCACGCCTCTGACTCTGGCCATGTTTGCCCGAGCGAGCCCGGAGGCGATGGCCAGCGATGCCCCAGGCCTGCAGCTCCCACCCCTCCCCCAGCTCCTCCCGGTGGGGTGCTGCAGTTGTGCTCCCCAGGACCCTCAGTACGGGACGTCTAGGTCCAGCCCCTTGCCCTTCTCCAGTTCCTTCAGCCCTAAACATGGAGCTCCCACCGCGCCCCCAGCCTAGGACCAGGAATTCCTATTCCCCCACCCACCACCCAGCACGGGACACCCACAAGGCCTCGCCCCATGGGGCCCCCAGACGTCCTGGAGGCCGGGGAGGGACAAGCTCTCATGGCGACCCACGCCCCGTCTGTCCCCGTGTGACTCCCGGAACAGCTCCGACAGCACTCCCTGCCCCGGGCAGGTGCGCAGCGCGACCCCAGCCGCTGCCCCGCCGCCTACCTGCTTGTCCCGCGCGCGTCGCTCCGCTTCCTCCGCGCCTTTGCGGCTGCTCGCGGACGCCACGAAGCTGTCCCCTGCGGGCCGGGGGCGGACGCACGGGAAACCCGCACAGAGGAGGGAAGGAGGCGCACTGTGAGCCCCGCGGGCGCTGCGCCTTCGCGGGGTCCCCATCGCCCGGAGAGCGCGCAGGGGTAGGCGTGGGGGTCCCGCGTGCTCCTGGAGACCCGCGGCCCCGTCCCCCCACCGCGGGCTGCTGGGCAGGACGCGCGCGGACTCCGGGCTCCGAGGGTCCCGGCCCGGGTCGCGCCCCCGCCCCCGCGCCCCCGCTCACCTTCTGGGCTCTCCCTCTGCTTGCGGGCGGCGGCGGCTGCGGCGCGGAGACAGGAAGCGACAGTGAGAGGCGCCCCCGGCCCCCGCTGCCCCCGCTGTCCCCGCTCCGCGCGCCCCCGGCCCCGGCCCGCGGCTCACCGTGCTTGGACTGCAGCGTCCCCATCGCCCCGCCGCGCCCGCGCTCAGGTGCCGCGCTGAGTTCCGGGGCCGGGCGCCCGCGGGGGCCGCATGCACCGCGAGCAAGCTGGGGTTCGGGCGGAGGTGCGCGAATACGGCTGTGCGCCGCGCGGGGCGCGGGGGCAGCGGGGGCCGCGGGGGCCGCGGGGGCCGCGGGGGCCGCGGGGGCCGCGGGGGCCGCGGGGGCCGCGGGGGCCGCGGGGGCCGCGGGGGCCGCGGGGGCCGCGGGGGCAGCGGCGGCCGGGCTCTCTCCGAGCGCGCGCGCCGCTCCGCGGCTTTAACCGCGGCTCCCGCAGCGCCCCACGCGGCCCCTGTCCGCAGCGCAGCGGCCCCGCCCCCGGCCCCGGCCCAGAGTCCCCGGAGCGGCCAGGACCCCGCCCGGCCAACCGCGAGGGCGGTCAGGGGCTGCAGCGGAGCCTGGCGGGAGTCAGCTCCGACGTCTCCCCAGGCCGTCCCGGGTCGGGGATCCCCGGTTCCAGAGGAGCCTGAGGGCCCCTCCCTTTAAAGGGCAGGACCCGCCTCCCTTGGCTGCGGGGGAGGCGGTGGGGTGTGGGCAGCCCAGGGCGGGGTCTGCGTGCAGGACCAGATCCCCGCCCTCCCGTGGCGCCCCACATGGATGAAGGACGATCATTGCCCCTCGGAAGCTGGAGGGGCCCTGCACCCCTTGCTTCGCCCTTAGCTTGGGCAGGGTCTCCGCCAACCTGTGCCTTGAGGGTGTGGGAGCCTCCCAGGGGCCTCCGGCCAGGCCGCCTGCGCTGCCTTCTCCCCGTGTCCAACTTAGTGGCCTGAGCTCCCGCCCTGGCCTCATCTCCAGCTCCTCCCCGTGGCTCTGGAGACCCCTCCCCCAGGCCTGGCCCCCTCCCTGCCTCCTACCCTGGCTAGGCACCCAGGGCTGTCTTCCCTATTGACCTTCAGAGGAACCATCTTCCCTCGCCTCCTCCTGGAGCCCCAGTTTGCTCCTGTTTCTGGGACCTTTCTGGCTTCCCTACCCCTGAGCCTCCCCCCTGCCAAGCCTGTTGCCCTGATGCAGTGTCTCTCCCCAGCCTTTCAAGAGCAAGCTCGGCGTCCGCGCCCACCCCCTCCAGCATGTCTCCAGCCTCAGTGAGTGACCTCACCTAATGCCAGGGCAGGTCCTGAACCTGGAGGTGGTGGGAGACCTCTCACCTGCCCAGACCCCGCTCTGCCAGGCCTCTGCTGAGCTGGCGCAGGCCCCGCCTGGTGTCTGTGCTTACTCCCCTGGCTGGATCCCTGTGTCTCAGCTGAGCAGTGCAGACCCCGGCCACCTGGCGCTGACCTGCACCTCTGGAGCTGACGTCCAGCCAAGCCCTTTCACCCCAGCCACTGTCTCCCATTCTCAGACCATCCTTGGGGCAGATGCCGCCATCACTCCATTTTACAGAGGCCCAGGCTGCTCAGGTGACTGAACCAGAAGCCTGCCCCAGCCCTGGCAGAGCCCCGTGGCAGCTGTCCATGGGACCTGAGCTGCAGGTGAGCGCGTGAACAAGGGTGCACAGACCCTGCTGGGAGTGGTCCTGCCTGAGATCCATTCCCAACATCTGCTGAGGAGCCCCAGTGGAGGGACTGCTTCCTGCAGGCGGGCAGCTCTGGCCCTTGGAAGAAGGCTGCATCCGGCCAGGCCCTGCCTGGGATGGGCTGGGAGTGCCCTTGGGTGTGGCATCCGGGCATCCAGCTTAAGGGCTGCCGCCTCCCTCCCAGGCTCTTCCAGCCCCTCCTCTCTCCCCTCTTCCCCACACCACCCCATGTGGTCTTTAACTCCCGACTTAGAAAGTAAAGACATCATCTCCTGTGGTCTCAGGGTCCTACTGCGTGTGTGACAATAATAGTCTTGTGACTACACGTTAGGCCAAGTAGCACATGTGAGGATGGCAGCTCTATTCCACACCTCTAGGTCCCGCCCCTACTTGAGGACTGGTGAGCCGCCCTGGGCGAAGATCTGCTGGTGGGCTCGTGACCCCTGCGTGGCTGGGAGCCTTGCCTCACACACGCATGGGCCCTCCTCCCAAGACCCTGGGGAGGTCCCACTGTGGGAGGTTGGCTCAGGAGCCCCAGCCAGGTGGGGAAGGGCCATTGTGTCTCACTCCTCTGCTAGCTGACAGTCCTTCTTAAATGCAGATGTCAAGGGGACTGGGGAGGAAGTGTCCTGAGAGGGCAGTTGGAGTGGGGGCACCCATGGCACCGACACCACACGCCACAGAGCACCCAGGCTGGAGGAGCCGGTGAGGCTGGGCCTGCACTGACTGCTGTGCCCTCACACCCGCCTGGTCAGCTGGAACTGGGCACAGGCAGAGTCCAAACAGCGGAAACTCCTGTGCGTTCCAGTGAACTTGGGTTACCAGGCAAAGATTTTACATTTATTCTTTAACAGCTTTATTGAGATACAATTCACCCGTTAAAGTACAGAGTGTCTCCACCATGTGTCCCACACAGGACGCCGGCACCACACCAGGCCACGGCTTGACCCTCAGCCCCACTGGCTGGCAGATCAGGGCTGTGTGCCCTCCTTCTACGTGGGCTCAGCGTCTGGAGAGTCCTCTGAGTCCTCTGAGGCGGAGGGATGGATCCCCCAGGGCTCCTTTGGGCAGGAGCTGGGGAGTAAGAGCAGCCGATTCACCCATTCCTTCCCAGACGGTCCGGAGCTCCTCCCGGGCAGGACACACCTGACCCTCACCTCCCGAGTGTCCTCAGGGTGTTCTCGCCTGGTGGACCCACAGTGGGGATTGAGGGGCACTGCAGAGCTGAATCTGGACCCCACTCTCAGCTCAAACAGCAACCCTAAGTGGCCACTATGCCCCCAACACCCACTGTACTCTTCCCCCCCACCACCATCTATGGGGGGGGCACAGCCCACCTGGGGTCGCTCCAGAGCCGGAGTCACCAGCTCCAAGACCTGAGACCCCACCCCCAGGCCAGTTCACAATCCCCGAGCGCCTTAAGATGTCTGCATCACAGGGCAGCCTGGTCGCCTCCGCCATTCCACAAAGAAGGGCTGCCCTCTGCTCCCCTTGGCCTTCCTTTCTGGTGTGCCCACGCCTTTGCCCTCTGCCGGCCCGCTGGGGACCCACCCGCCTTCCTGGTGCTGCCTCAGTGGTGGCTGCCGAGAGCACCCGTCCGCTTTCCCTGGAGGCCTTGGGGCCAGTGTGGTTTGCTGGACGCCGTCCTCACAGGACGCCAGCTTGAGTGTCCTCTCCTGGGGTGTCTGTGGGGCAGACACCTGCCTGCCTCCTCCAGGGATGGGGGCTCTGCCAAGGAGCCTGCAGGGACTTCACCCGGCCCCCAGGTTCCACGGCCAACCCCTCTCGCCTTTCTTTCTGCGTCCGCCCGAGATGGCTGGGACCCTCTGGCGGGAGCCGCTGCTGCCTGGGGCAGGCCAGTGCACATGGGGACATCCCACGGGTGCCCATGGCCGCCGGAGCGAGGGTCACGGGCCCCACCGGACTGCCCGAGCTCATGGAGCAGCCTGGATCCCCAAGGCCAGCGCCGTCCAGTCTGGGGGCTCAGATCTGAGCATGCAGGTGGACGCCCGGGGCCACAGTCATCCCCGCCCGACCTTCCCAGGCCGCGGAGCCCTGAGGACAGTTTCGTCGCCGATACAATCCGCTCCCAGCACGTTCGAAGGGGACCCACGGGAACCGCCCAGAATCCGCCCTGCCCCGGCCCGCAGCTCCGGAGCAGCGGCCCCTCCTCCTCCTCCTCGTCCTTCACGGGCGGGCGCCGCCGGGTCCCCACCGGGAGCATCCCGGGACCCCGGCTTGGAACAGGCGCGTGCTCTCAGGAGTCTCACTGGCCTCACTGGCTCCCACCAAGACGCCACCGTCCTGAGAGCCGGGCTTGTCCCGTTTTGTGGGCGTCACTGTGGCTATGGCTGCTCCTCTGTGTGAGGAACGTCCCTGTGTGAGGAGCGTCCCTGTGTGAGGGGTGTCCCTGTGTGAGAGATGTCTGTGGAGTGAGGGGTGTCCGTGGAGTAAGGGGCGTCCTCTGTTGCTGGGTGTCTGCGGCGTGATGTCATGGTGCAGCATGTCTGGAAGGCCTGGTGTGGCCTGTAGGGCTGAGGGTCCCACAGGGTCGTGGGGTGAGCCTTATGCTGTGCTAAGGTGCAGGATCCCAGAAATAAAGAGACAGGACACAGAAGTACAAGGAAAACGCAGCTGGGCTCGGGGGGCCACGCCACCTATGAGTGGAGTCAGGCGAGGCCCCAAATGTCCAGAAGCGTGAGTATTTACTGTGTATAGGTTAGGGGGCAGGGCAGTGAGTGAAATCATCTTTAAGGATAGTGATAGGGTTGTAAGCAATAAAACATGGGGTCCACCCCCATTAGGTCATCTAGGCCAGGAGGTGGACAGTGCGCAGCAAGGGCCCGTTCCCACGAAGGCAAGGGCCGTGTGCAGTAAGGGGTCCACCCCCATTAGGTCACCGAGGCTTGAAGGTGGGCCGTGTGCAGTAAGGGGGTGCAGTGTGCGATACTTCTATCTACGGGAAAACTAATTCTCAGATTTATGGGGGATGCTTTAAGTCACATAGCAATGACAGAGCTGTCAAGGTTACCGCCACCTCCTGGCAGCTTCCAATGGGTTCTATGGGAAGATGCTTTCCAAGCAGCACAGTAGCAAGAGCTGATGAAGTTCACAGTCACCAAGGTGGATTGCCGGTCCGAGGGCACCTTCCACAACAACTGGAGCAAGGTCCTACAACTCCTTCATCAGGAGGAGTGGCTCTTGCCCCAAGCCTGCCATACAGCGGGTATCTTTACGACACTGAACACTGCCACCTGGGCCATGGGTTCTTGTCCTGGTGTAACTGTTTTCCCTTAATTCATGCTCTGCACTGTGTCTGCTGTAGGCATTCCTCTGATTATGAACTAAGATATAATTACAGGTATATATGTAGGGAAATATTCTTTAGAAACTCATACTATCAACTATTATTTGATTATATATAGAGGATTATATAAAGGGAGCCTTCAAGCCCTATTTCTATAAACATGATTATATAAAAGGAAACAGCTGAGTAGTAACACTATGAAGTGAGATATTCCTCAAGCCCTAACTGTGCCAGGGCTCTGCTTAGCTCTCATCCCTCGGTGCCTGTATGGCGGTT